GGGCCGGCCAAGCCAGCCAGCGCTGAGGCAGAGGACGTGTTGCCCACCCTTCCCACCACCCACCGTCTCCCTGCCCTCGGCCACCACCTACCCTCCTGGGCCGAGGCCAGGCCGCCCTCCCTCCCCTCCCCCAGGGAGTCTGGCTCCCAGGGATGGGTCCAGGACCCCTTTCTCTTCCCAGGGCTACAGGAGTGGGGCACCACAGCCCTGCTGTCCTCAGGGCTCACCCCAGCCCTGTTGAGGGGACAGTGCCACCTCTGGGGGCAGTGGGCTCTGGCACCCGACACCCAGCAAAGCCTGTGGGCACGCTTGTCTCCTCTCCCAGGGCTGCAGGGTCCCACTCACCAGCAGCGGGGGCGATTTCACAGCTTGCTGACTGTCCGAGCGCCGCAGGGCCCCATTCACCCGCCGGCGAAACATCTGCAGGGGAGGAGCTCGGCTCAGCCACAGGGTCCCCGTGGGCAGCTCCAGAGGTTCAGACGGCCCCTGGGGATCCTTCAGCTGGCCCCGTCCCAAGGAGAGCAAGCAGGGCCCAGCCTAGACCCCAGGGAGTCATGGGGGCAGGATGGGATCCCGCCCCAGGGACAACATCCAGCCCACCCCTCACCTTGCGGATGCTGCCTCCAGACTTTTTCACCATCAGCTCATCCACCATGGACTGCAGGCAGATGCTCAGCATGATGGCCTGCAAGGGAGAGGTGTCACGAGGCCCCAGTCACCCCCCGGCCTTCCTAACACACCACGGCGAGCCCAGACCACCACCTTGCTCCCGTCCTTGTCCACTGCCAGCCTGGCAGGCAGGCAGCCCTACCTGTGGACTGGTGATGGTGACCCACTGCAGCCGGTCCTTGCTCATTAGATACTCGAAAGCCAACTCCAGCTTCACCTCGGACTTCCCTGGGCTGCTCCCCGAGGGACCGTTGCTCATCGGCACCTGCGAGGGCAGATGCTGAGGCTGGGAGCCTCCGGAGGGGAAGGGGCCCGCTCCCCAGGCCCTTGTGCTGACAGCCGGGCTCTAGACGCCCTGCCCCTCTCCCAGTGGCCCTCCACTGCTGTCAGGTCCCCTCGCAGCAGCGGCCCCCTCAAATGTCCTCCCACCAATGACCCCCTCAGCCCCAAAGCACCACTCCAACCCTCCCCAGGCCAGCTGGGCTGGAAGCAGG